ATTTGGAATGCAGTGGCTCGATCATGGCTCACTGCAGCCTCCACCTCCTGGGCTCAAGCAATCCTCCCACCTCAGCCTCCCGAGTAGCTAGGACTACAGATACATACCACTATAACCAGGTAATAATTTTCTTTTTTTGTAGAGACAGTGTCTTGCCGTATTGCTCAGGCTGGTCTTGAACTCCTGGCCTCAAGTGATCCTCCTGCCTTGGCTTCTCAAAGTTCTGGGATTATAGCCACTGTGTCCATCCATGCCTTTTTAAATAATTTTTATTTTTTTTAATTATTATTATCATTTTTTGAGACAGAGTCTTGCTCATTCTGTCACCCAGGCTGGAGTGCAGTGGTGTGATCTCAGGTCACTGCAACCTTCCCCTCCTGAGTTCAAGTGATTCTCCTGCCTCAGCCTCCCAAGTAGCTGGGATTACAGGCATCCACCACCATGCCGAGCTAATTTTTGCATTTTTAGTAGAGATGGAGTTTTGCCACATTGTCCAGGCTGGTCTCAAAGTCTGGACCTCAGGTGATCTGCCTGCCTTGGCCTCCCAAAGTGCTGGGATTATAGGCATGAGCCACCTCACCTGACCCATCCATGCTTATTCTTGCTCCCGCTTTCCTTTATTCTTCGCAGGGTTTTTTTTCCCGTCAATTTCTTGTACATCAAATTCCACCTTGGCATCTGCTTCTTGTGTTATGGAACCGAACTGGGATCAGCTCACCTTGTTCCTCCTTTGTTCATTGTTCTCTCGTGGCACAATGGCTACCTGGAGTACCCTTCCTGCAGTCCAGGAAGTTAAAAATTGTGTTGCTGAAAGAGCCTTTGTCTCAGTACTAATTTTTCTTTGTGGTACCAAGTATCTATTTCCAACATCTATTTCCAACACTACTGGAGGCCAGGAGTTCGAGACCAGCCTGGGCAATACAGCAAGACCCCATCTGTATGAAATTTAAGAAAATTAGTCAAGCATGATGGTGCAGACCTGCAGCTGGGATTACAGGCACGCACCACCACGCCTAGCTAATCAGTAGAGACAGGGTTTCACCGTGGTGGTCGGTCTGGTCTCGATCTCCTTACCTCAAGTGATCCACCTGCCTTAGCCTCCCAAAGTGCTGGGATTAGAGGCATGAGCCGCTGTACCTGGTCCCAAACTGTTTTTGTTAAAGACAGGGTCTCACTCTGTCACCCAGGCTGGAGTGCAGTGGCACAATCATAGCTCACTGCACCCTTGAACTCCTGGGCTCAAGCAGTCCTCCCACTTAACTTGCTGTGGAGCTGGGATCACAGGAACTTTTCTACTTCCCACAATTCCCTCCTCTTTTACTGTATAGTTTTTCTTTTTCAATCTTTTAAAACACGTTTTGGCTTAGTTGTTCTGCCTGAGTTTTTAAAAGAAAAAGCTTCTCTCTCTTTTCTCTTTACACAATTTTTTCTTTAGTTTTACGTCCCATCTCTCTCTCTCTCTTTCTTTCACACACACTTTCTCTATTTTCCGACATACGTCAACGCTTTTTTTAACATTTTGCTGGCCAGAGCAGGACTTGCCTTGGGCTGCTGCTTGTGCTGCTGGCTATAATTACCTTCTTGCTTATCAAGTTGCTCAATGACTTTTCAGGGCTAAGTGCCTGGAATTTTTCTTGAAGAAATTCAAGATTTGTTTTAAATGTTCATGCTTGCATGGGCCTACAGGCTACTGCACCTTCTCACTTGGAGCACCTGAATTGACAGATGCAGTATTTACACGTGCAATCAATACTATCTCACTCATTAATTCCACTCCTGATGTATTCTCAACAGAAATGATGGCTTACGCTGGTTGGGCAGGGTGGCTCACGCCTGTTATCCCAGCACTTTGGGAGGCTAAGTTGGGTGGATTCAAGACCAGCCTGACCAACAATGATGAAACCCCATCCCTACAAAATACAAAAAAAAATTAGCCAAGTGTGGTGGCACATGCCTGTAATCCCAGCTACTTGGGAGACTGAGGCAGGAGAATCGCTTGAACCCAGGAGGCAGAGGTTGCAGTGAGTCATGATTACGCCATTGCACTACAGCCTGGGCAACAAGAGCAAAACTCTCTCCAATTGGAAAAAAAAAAAAGAAATGAGGGCTTATGTCCACCAAAATTCATTTATGGAATGTTCATAGCAACTTAATTCGGGATAGCTAAAAATGAGCCAGATGTCCAACAGCAGAATGGATAAATAAAATTGTGGATATCTAATATAATGGATTATTACACAGTAATGAAAAATAACAGTCAGCATCTGCAATAACATGGGTAAACCTCCCAGACATAAAAGAAGCCGGATGATCAAGAGATCTTATTAATTGAGTAAAAGCTACAGGAGTCCACTTAGATGTATGAAAATCATTAGGGATGCAGGGTGAGGATTTTTTTTTTTTTTTTGAAAGAGGGTCTCACTCTGTCATCCAGGTGGGAGTGCAGTGGGGCAATGTCGGCTCATTGCAGCCTCAACCCACACCCCTGCCCAAGACTCCTGGGCTTAATCAGTCCTCCTCCCTCAGGCTCCCAAGCAGCTGGAACAACAGGCATGTACCACCACACCCGGCTAATTTTGTACATTTTTTGCAGAGACCAGAGCTCCCTATGTTGCTCAGGCTGGTGTCGAACTGCTGGCCTCAAGCAATCCTCCTGCCTCTCAAAATGTTGTGAGAGAGCAGAGTGAGGATGTTTTTGAGGACTGTGGTAAACATCCTCCTCACATTCATGTCCTATATAATCCTCTCCCTTTGAGCATGGGCTGGACCTAGGGAATACTGGGACTCTTCTCTTTCCTTTCTTTTCTTTTTTTTTTTTTTTTTGAGATGGAGTTTCGCCTTCTAGGCCAGGCTGAAGTGCAATGGTGCAATTTCAGCTCACTTCAACCTCCACCTCCAGCGTTTTAAGCGATTCTCCTGCCTCAGCTTCCCAAGTAGCTGGGATTACAGGCATGTTCCACTACGTACAGCTAATTTTTGTATTTTTAGTTGAGACAGTGTTTCACCCTATTGGTCAGGCTGGTCTTGAACTCCTGACCTCAGGTGATCCACCCACCTTGGCCTTCTAAAATTCTGGGATTACAGGCGTGAGCCATCTGCCTTGCTGGACCTAGGTGCTATTTTCTAAGTAGCAATAAAATACATGAAAGTGATGGGATGTCACTTCTGGGATTAGGTTACAAAGAAGACTGTGATCCCTCTCGCATTTTCTTTTTCTCTCTCTTCCTCTTTCTCCTCCCTAGCCCTGGGGCAAGACAGCTGCTTCTTATGAAGAGGTGCAAGTAGACAGGAAGTGAGGTCTCCAGCCAACAGAGAGGACCTGAGGCCTGCCAGCAGCTATAGAAGTGAGTTTGAAAGAGGGTTGTGAAGCCTTGAGAGAGCTGTAGTCCTGGCTGACAGCTTGATTGTATCTTCATAAGAGCCTGAGCCAGAGGACACAGCTCATCTCACCCAGATTCCTAGCCCACTGAAACTGTGAGAAAAAAAAAAGTGTGTTTATTAAGCGGCTAAATTTGGGGCGATTTTTATCCAACAATAGGTAATGAATGCAAGGATATTGCTTATTACTCAAAATCACTATATAAAGCCCCTGAAAAATTGAAAACTGCAACTAGGGAAACACTGAGAGTCTCCAAGAACACTGTGTTTCTTCTTAGAGACAGTGAGAAAAGCACATACATGTGTTTTCCTTTTAGTTTTGGCCACCAGGAAGCTCAGAGCCAAATGTGTGACCCAATTTTAATAACTGTGTAAGCCTCTATGACCTGCTTATCTGTGTTCTTATTCCTGGCCTTTCATTTTATTCTGACTTTCTCTCTCTCTCTCTTTTGAAACAAGACAGAGTTTTGCTCTTGTTGCCCAGGCTGGAGTGCAGTGGCGTGATCTCGGCTCACCTCAAACTCTGCCTCCCAGGTTCAAGAGATTCTCCTGCCTCAGCCTCTCGAATAGCAGCTGGGATCACAGTCATGCACCACCAAGCCTGACTAATTTTGTATTTTTAGTAGAGACAGGGTTTCCTCCATGGTCAGACTGGTCTTGAATTCCTGACCTCATGTGATCCACCTGCCTCAGCCTCCCAAAGTGCTGGGATTACAGGTGTGAGCCACTGCACCTGGGCCTGACTTTTCCTTTTCTTCCTACTGATTTTATTAGCTCATCTATATTTTTCTATGTGATATGAATTATGGTAAGCCACCTCAAATTCAGCTTGCAGAGAAGCAAGGCATTTGTAAATTTTTTTTTTTTTTTTGAGACTCTCACTCTATGTCCCAGGATGGAGTTCAGTGGCGCGATCTCGGCACACTGCAATCTCCGCCTCCCGGGTTCAAGTGATTCTCATTCCTCAGCCTCCCAAGTAGCTGGGATTACAGGCGCGCACCACCATGCCTGGCTAATTTTTTATTTTTATTTTTAGTAGAAACCAGGGTTTCACCATGTAGGCCAGGCTAGTCTCGAACTCCTAACCTCAAGTGATTCACCTGCCTCGGCCTCCCGAAGTGTTGGGATTGCAGGCGTGAGCCACCGCGCCCAGCGCACACATCATTTTTTAAAGACAGTTTTTAAATTTAAAACATAGTTTTGCACATTAAAAAACGTTTTGCACAGGCTGAACACAAAGTTCCCGGAGGTAGTGGTAAGGAGATCAGGTCATAGGAGGGTGGCTCCGGAGCCCCAAGCATTGGCCAGGGGTGATTTGGATTGGGTAAGAAATATCAAGTGATAGCGATGGAAAAGGGAAAAAGGAGAGCAATTGATTGCCATCCCCAGAGGGAGGGGCCGGCAGAGGGCTCACCCACTCACCCACAGTGGGATCCTTGCAACGTGATCCTGGCAACGGCTCCCCTAATCCCTCCCGCCCAGTTCCGCCCAGTCCCGCCCCTCACCCGGACCCTGCCCTCACCCGGGCCCCGCCCCCTCCCGAGCCCCGCCCTTCACGCACGCAGCGACGCACCGCCTCAGTCTCCGCCAGCCAATCCGGCCTCTCCGGTGGTTGCGCGCTCCGCCCCCTCCGTCTGAGCCCGCGCGGGCCTTCTCTGCTCCGCCCGCCTCACTCCTTTCTGGGCGGTTGGGCAGCGCGCCTGTCCCGGCGGGGCGCGCAGCGAGCGACCCAGCCTCTGGGACGCGGTGGCGGCGGTTGCGGCGGCGGCGACGGCGGCGACGGCTGGGTCTGCCCAGACTGCGGCGGAGGCGGTGGCTGAGGTGGAGGCGGAAGGAGGCGGCGGCTGCAGAGGGGGGAAGATGGCGGCGTCTGTCCCGCTGAGAGTGTCGGTGCCGCCGTGGGAGCTGGTGGCCTGGTACGCCGTGTGCCCTTCCCGGATACTGCTCTATTTCTACACCGACTACGTGGAGCGGGAGAAGGAGTGGGACCCCGAGCACCGGACCCTCTGCAACCTGGGGTCCTGGGTAAAGTGCTCCGCCGCCCTTGCCTCCAGGTAGCTAGCGTTGGGGAGTGGGCCGTGAGCGGCCGCGCGGGGCGAGGGCGGAGGCTGGGGGTTGGGAGCGGGAGGCGGGAGCTCGGGCCTGGGGGCGGCGGGGACCCGGCCGCGGGGAAACGGACCGGGTCGGGGCCGGGGCTGGGCGCTCCTGCCCCTGGGCCGCCCCAGCCCAGGCCACGCCGCGAAGGTGGCGGGACCTCGAGGCCGCCAGGGGGAGATGAAGTGACAGAGTGCAGCCGGGAGGCCGGGGCGGTCGTGTTGCTGTTGGGCGGGCGGGGCCCGCGCTGGGCTGGAGCGCGAGGGTCTCCGGAGTGTGGGTCCCAGCCGGCCTGACCGGTGTATTGGTTGTCTGGAAGGCGGGCCGGGGGTGTGGGACCCTGTCCGCTGCACCCGCGAGGCCAGAGGCCACCTCTTGTCCACCCGTCGCTGCAGCCGAGGCTTTAGGGGCCCGGCGCGGACTCAGGGGGCTTGCGTTTCCCATTGTCTTCCTGGTACTAGGACAGGTGTTTCCGTGGTCAGGCCTCTTTGTACTCCAGCGCTAGTGAGAATTTGTGGACTTACTGAGACGGTGACATTTGCGGGCAAACACAAATTTGACCCTACTCTGGAAGAAGATACCGGCACTTAAAATATCTGATTTCTTGGATTTCTCCTCGTATATTTGAGTGTGCCAGGAGGGGGAAATGGTCTGCGTTTGGGTCTGAGTTTACGCTTCACTGGAGTAAAGGACAAGTATGTTATGTGTATGGTAGTGTTTTAGGCATTGGGGTGACTTTTAAACGTTGTTGCTTATTAGTATACTAGGATACCCACAACAGATTAAAAACACATGCTTTGCTAAACTTGAGTGATTGGTTTGTGTTACTGATCATTTTATTTTTTTTTAAATGTAATTGGTTTGTCTGTTATGTTTTATTTTAACGCGTTAAATTTTCCTAGGCAAGTTACTTTGAAAAAGGGAGGAATTTACTTTTTGGTGTTTTTTTTTGTTTGTTTTGTTTCGTTTTGTTTTGTTTTGTTTTGTTTTTTAGACAAGTTTCGCTCTTGTTACCCAGGCTGGAGTGCAATGGCTCGATCTCGGCTCACCGCAACCTCCGCCTCCTGGGTTCAAGCAATTCTCCTGCCTCAGCCTCCTGAGTAGCTGGGATTACAGGCACGCGCCACCATGCCCAGCTGATTTTTTGTATTTTTAGTAGAGACGGGGTTTCACCATGTTGACCAGGATGGTCTCGATCTCTTGACCTCGTGATCCACCCGCCTTGGCCTCCCAAAGTGCTGGGATTACAGGCGTGTGCCACCGCGCCCGGCCCGGAATTTACGTTTTAAAGGTGGCTGCTGTTTTTGTTTGTTTGTTTTTTGGGGGGTTTAAAAACGTAACAGAAGTCGAAGGAATGATTTCAGAATTGGTAGGTTACGATTTTAATAGTGACTATGTCTAATATTTAGATGTTTGTTAACAACAGTAGTCACATTTGAGCAATTTCTTCTCTTCCTGTTGATTGGTAAATTGGTATGTAGACAGAAATGTATAGTTCACTAGTTTATTTCGACTGACATATTGTTGATTACATGAACAAGGTAGCACTGTAGTTTGTCTTGTTATTGGTTACAAACTTCAGGGTGCAGATCTTTCCACTTAGCCTTATCATGGACCAGATACTCTATCTCATTTGCTCATAAACCAAAATCCTGTAGCTTTTTACAGAGGAAATAGTTATCACGTGGCCAAATGAAGCAATTTGAGAATGCATTTAAAATGTAGGTATTAATTTACTGGGGAAAATACATAAATGTGACAAAAAGCTCACATTTGTTGTTGGTGGTTATTCTGAACCAAGTTAATAGGCTGATTAGACTCTCATACCCTTTGAGAAACATTAAGTGTCTTTTATGCAAAATTTTTGTGTTATATCCGCTTTGGGAAAGAAGTTTTAAACTCATAAGTACCTTCCACGTGAAGTTAGTTGAATGAATAAAATATATAAGGAAAACATGATGCAGCAGCACATTTCAAGTATTTAAGAAACAAGAACTAAAAATAACTTTTGATCCTAGGTTAATATGGAATTTAACCAGAATTATGAGTAATTTCAGATTTTTTTTGAAACAAGTCTAAAATAAATGGATCTTTTAAAATTGGGGCATGGGAGGAGTACTTTACTGTATGCTTAAGTTCTTAAAATTGACTTTCTTTAAAAAAGAGAGTTTTGAACCATATAAGCATACACTCTAAATATTCTCAGTTATATATCCTGCAAGAACTGCGTGTTTGTGCATCATAAAATATCAAGAAATATATTAAAAGTATAAGTACATGTAAGACTAAAGGTAACTGGATCTCTTTATAGTTTTTAATGTGAATTTAATATGTTGTGACTGAAAGTGTTTCAGTGTGTAGCTGTGGACATAAAACAGTTTAACTTAGATGCTTGTTAAAGGATAGGTAAAAATAAGATATACTAATAAGAGTAAATAATTCACTTGCTATCTATACAGTGAAATTATTTTAAGAAATTTGTTCAGTTTGATCAGCCTGTTTATAAACTACTTGTAAAAATCAAGTAGTTTATAAACTACTCATTTAATAAATGAATTCACAGGTCGACTTATTTTGGAAATAGTTTATAAACAGGCTGAGCAAAGTCACATGTATATATACATATATAATCACATATACGCATATAGACTAATTTTCTTTTGGAAGTAGGTAGACAAAACATTGAAAGTTTTTATTTTGTCTAGTGGAAAGAGACTTTAAATGAAAGCTGATTATTGGACACCTCAAGTTAGTTTCTTTTGAGTAGTGATTACCATGTAGCAGTACCACTCGAAGATGTGACTCTTAGGAAAAGAAAGTTTGAGCCCAGGCTGGGTGCGGTGGCTCATGCCTGTAATACCAGCACTTTGGGAGGCCGAGGTGGGCGGATCACCTGAGGTCCGGAGTTTGAGACCAGCCTGACCAACATGGAGAAACCCAGTCTCTACTAGGAATACAAAATTAGGTGGGTGGGCATGGTGGTGCATGCCTGTAATCCCAGCTACTCGGGAGGCTGAGGCAGGAGAATTGCTCGAACCTGGGAGACAGAGGTTGCAGTGAGCCGAGATCACGCCATTGCACTCCAGTCTGGACAAGAGCGAAATTTTGTCTCAAATAACTAAGAGTGAAGCCACCTGGCTCACGCCTGTGATCCCAGCACTTCGGGAGGCTGAGGTGGGTGGATCATCCGAGGTCGGGAGTTTGAGGCCAGCCTGACCAAATGGAGAAACCCTGTCTCTACTAAAAATACAAAACTAGCTGGGCGTGGTGGTGCATACCTGTAATCTCAGCTACTCGGGAAGCTGAGGCAGAAGAATCACTTGAACCTGGGAGTAGGACGTTGCGGTGAGCTGAATTCGCACCACTGCAGTCCAACCTGGTCAACAAGAGCGAAACTGTCTCAAAAAAAAAAATAATAAGTTTGAGAAAATTTAACAGATGAAAAAGATTCTGAAGAAAGTCCTCTTCCAGGATCCAGTGTCAGCACATGGTTTTGGATTGCTTATACTCAACTTGATTCTCATTTCACAATCCCCAAATGTCCTAATCCAAACAGAATAAGGTAGAGGTTA